GTGTGGGGCTTTCCCGGGTGTCGTTTAAGTGTTTGCAAACTACCCAGTGGACAAATTGCACAGGAAGGGAACTGAGTCTCTCCTTTCACCTGACCAGGGGGCGGGCACCTGCTGAGTAGTTTGCGACAGCAGTGGGCAGCTTGGTCTGGGTTTTTGGTTGGAGGTGGTTGAAAGGATGCTTGTTTCTTAGGCAGTTTGCTGGCCAATTCTGACCCACGGGTGGGCAGCCCAGGCAGACCATGCGCTGGGTGCCCATTCTCTGGGACTGTGTGGAGCAGGACCCCCTTCCTGCGGTTTACTGCCCCCATCCATACACCCAGGTCCCTTAGTGGGGGTCCCAGACTGTAAAACCAACTCCTTCCTGCCTCAGTCCTACACAGTCCCACTCTTCTTTTCCTTGAGAGTGGGCTGCAGGCCCCCAGACCTGGAACTAGGCACATTTAGAGCTTGGTGGAGGTTTGGGGAGATAGGGAACTGGCTGGGGGGTTGGGGAGCGGTTCAGCCTAAGTAGGAGGGCTGGAGCTTTCCTGGAGTCTGGGCTCTCCCATTCCCTGGCAGGAAGGATATTTGGTGTTTAATGTCCCTGCTCCCCAGAAACCCACCGAGACTTCTTTGTGGGGGATTGAGAGGGAAGAGGAGTCTAGAATGGCTGTGGGAACCAAGTAAGATAGTCACACTGGCATGACACCCTGGCGGAGTGTGGGGAGGTCAGGGCTGTCCACTTAGCTAGCTTTTGTGAGGAAGACACCGCTGTTGCTACTGAGTTTTCCCATTTTGTTCCAGATCCTCCTCCACAGTGTATCAAAAGAAACCGGAGCGCCTACAAAGAGAGTTAGAGACAAAATTCAAGAGAACACACACATGCATAATCGTGGTGAGTGGGTGTGATTTAAAAAAAAAATCATAATCATTTCCACTACATTTCCATTTGTCCTCTGAAGCTGGAGAGGTAGCCATCAGGATTCATACATCAAGATGTAAAACAAAGGGCAGCTTTGAAGTGGATGCCTCGGTGTGAACCGCGGGCCCCGTTACATGATAACCGATCATCGGCCTGCAAATTTATGGCACTTTAATGGGGTGAGCCCGGTGCCTTAAATGCAGAGTGTATTACAATATTGAGTCATCTGGGCTAAAGAGGAGTGATTTAGAAGGAGCGTCCGGGGGCTTCCCATAGGGCAGAAGAGAGGCTGAGGGAAAAGACTGGAAGAAAATAAATCCGCTCTGGAGCACACCCGAAAAGGAGTGGTGTCGGAATCCCAAAGTAGTGAAGCCGGCGGGGAGCGGAGACTGGCGACTCGGGTTCAGTCAACGAACCAGGGTGCCTAGCCCGCCGCCAGAAAAATCCGTGGGCTGCGGAAGCCCACGTGTAGGCAGAACAGGGTTAGAGAAGCCCAGGCCAAGCAGAATCGGAGAGAATGTCGAGGAAAGCCACCCAACCGGCGCTCCGCCGCCTGCCCCCTTCTTCAACGCGCCACCGGTCGACTAGCGTCGCGGCGCTGGCCACACGGCCCCGGCCGGCGGCTGGCGTCCCCTTCCCGCCGACGCACACCCCGACCGGCCAGCGACTCTGTCGGGCTTCCCGGCGACTCAGGCCACAGCGGGCAGCAAGGTCCTCGGTCCCTGGTGAGGCGGCGCGCGTCCAGTCCCGCGTCGGGCCGCCGAGCAGAGCTGCGGGCAGCGCCCGCGCTGGCCACTTTATATAATCCCGCGGCTCGCGGGGCGCGCGAGCGGGAAAAGTGCGGAGTAGGGAATTCTTTCGTCGCTCTGCCTCCTACGCCGGCGAGTCTGCTTTCCACTTCTGAAAAGTGCCGGGCCTTGGGAAGTGTTTTTCTTTTCATTCCTTACTGAAGCGTTTACTGCCGCCGCGGTCGCAGTCATAAATTTTGTTACAAACCACAATGACAGGTGCATTGATATGCACCGTGAGAGCTCCAGCTGCTTAATAACCCCGTCCCCCGGCCGCTGTGAGCGCCTTTTATTTATTCGGTATCATATTAGGTATTGATCCCGGGCAGAATTAAGTGCAGTGAGCAAGTATCAGGGCTCCGTGGCTTCAGCGGCGGCGGGGTGGCTGGGAGAGGGGCGCTGGTGGCTCCCGGGACGCCTTCCTTCAGGCGGGAGACCGTTTGGCCGGCTATTCCGGCCTGTGGCTGCACCTCCGAACAGAGTTGGGCAACTTTCTGGGACCTGGAGGAAAATAGAGGAGCCGGACCCTGTCTGGAGCTTCTTCCCCATGAGGAGCAGGGGTGGCGCCGGCGCTGGTGGAGTTTAGGGAAGCCGTGGGCCCCTGACAGGGTGTGTGTGTGTGTGTGTGTGTGTGCGTGTGTGTGTGTGTGTGTGTGTGTGTGTGTGTGTGTAGCGGGTGGGGGGAGATGGAGAGTAGGAGTGCAGAGGGGGAGAGAAAGGGGTATCTAAGGACTCGGATTAAGTGGGGAATGCCAAGTCTGGCTCGGCGACCCCTCCCCCACCCCAGGCTCATCTTCACCCCAAGGCATTTGGGTCCTGCAGCAAAGGTACCAAAGGGTGAGAAAAGAAAGCCTTAAAAAAAAAGGGGGGGGGGGAGTGATGGAAAAGATGAACCACTGAACAGTTGACCATTGTCCGAGTGATTTATGACCCGTTCCTGCTTTTTAGGTTCAAGCAAAGTTCACAAGGAGTAGGGATTTCTGGAAAGAAATAAGCCTTTTACCAGGGTCGTTACAAAATTCCCAGGTTTTGTTTGAAGAGGGGTGGCTTCTTGGGGTACAGTATTTTCGGGGGAGGGGGCTTTAAGGCCCTCCTCCGTGAGGTCAGTGCTGGGGCTGCCTCTGCTTTGCAGGGGTCATCATCCTGTGCGCCTGGCCGTGGGTGAAGACATGCAACCAGAGGGAGAACAGATTGTGGTTACTCAGGACGCTGTCCCGTATTTGTAGTTTCAGGATGGAAACACGAAGCTTTTTCCAGGAATGTGCATTGGAACAAACATACCTGTATGTGTAAAACCAAGTATTGTCCCAGGACTCACTGAATCCCTTAAAAAAAGCCTTTTACCTTGCCTGGTCCACCCACCAAGATAAACTTGGTCAACATGGGAGGCAGGTTGGGGATGTTTTGCTTCCACAGTTGTAAATGGAATGAGAGCAGCAGCAGATTCTGGTGTCTGAGTTGACCCTTAAACATGCTGTGGGTCAAGACTGGAAGGAGGATTCCAGAAAAGTCCCCACACCTCCCCAACCTCAGGGTGCCTTGTCCTTAGGCCTGGGGGCAGAGGGGCACAGACATTAGTTACAAGGATGGGGATACAGCTGATCATTTGTTATGCAGGAATTTTCACAGAGAATTCTACAGACAAGGAATGGAAAGAAAGATTCAGTCCAGTTCACATTTCAGAACAGAAATAACATTCTCATAACCTGAGATCTTATTGTATCCCACTGAGAAGCGCCTGTCTCTCATCAGGATGAATGTCACACTCGCTTCTGTTCTAAAATACAATGGGCAACATAGCATTACCACATGCAAGGCAATCTGAAGACTTTTTAAAGTTCATGTTGAGCTGTTTGGTGAAAGTTGAGAGAAAAATGAGCGAAGAAGTAGTTTTGGCACTGTGGTCAAATCCATTCCATCCTATGCACTGTCAGAATGTTTTGGTTCATCATGATGAGCACATTGGAAGCCAGGGAGAATTTCTGAGAAGGAAAAGTTGCCTGAAACAAACAAAATCAAGAACTCAAACCAGAGAGCTGACCTGTGGGTTTTCTTTATCAAATAGACAAAAGTGATTGAATGGTATGAGTTATACTTTAACTTCTTAGGAGTCTTTTAGGAAAAGCAGGGAGGGTGGGTGATGGAGAAAGCCCCCATCAAGAGTCAAGGGACACAAAAGGGGGAGAACTTCTCTGGGATGTTTTTTTCCCTTCTTCTTCTCACTCTGGGTTCATTCATCATGTCATGAGATTTTCTCTCATTGGTTGTGGGTTGGGTAGGAGGTGGGGTGAAAGAGATGACCCAGGGTAGAGGTCAACAGTAGTATCTATACAACAGATCCATGGTGAAAATGATTATAAAGTTATAAAAGCCTTCTTGGACTTGCCCAAATTGCAGACCTTTCAAATTCCAAATCTCCTTACCTATTTCCAATAGTAACCATTTTTGAGATAGCAGCAGGGCATAGTGAAGTGGCTAGAAAAATGAGGATGAAAGAGAATAAATGTTTTTTACCCTTTAAATAAGTCTGAGTCATTAAGTGCTCTTCTTGGTTTTTATCTCCCAGTTTTTTACATTGTAGATTTCACAGTTGCCAACCCACAGAGCTCAGCTTGTCATGACCAAGTGAACCATCTGGGTTTTCCTGAAAGATGCTGGGATTTTGAAACCAGGTGGGAAGATACTTTTTTTTTTTTTTTTTTTGAGAGAGAGAGAGAGTGCTGGCTTTGGGAGAAGAGGGTTCCAGAGCTTCCTTTGGCCCATCAAAATGCTGAGATGACCCCATCATTGACTGACATTCAATTGCTCATTCACTCATTCATCAAACATTTTACTGCACTTAATGACCAGCAGACCACTGTTGAGGGATGTTATGAACACACAAATGAACAAGGCACAGTTCCTACGTGCACCTGCAGGGAGCTCACAGCTTAGTGGGAGAATCAGCCTGTACAATGCTTGAAGCCTTAAGTGCTTGCATGTGAAGATTCAAAGGAAAAATTGATGGTTTTGGAGAAATAAAATGGTTTCTGGGGTGGAGTGGAAGCCCCCCTCCAGGTTAAGTTAAACATTTAGGAGACAGTCCTTGCAACTTTCCAAGGGTTCAGATCCAATAGTGTTCCTATCCCTCCAATGCAAGGTGGGTGGGAAGCAGGGAGCATGGGTGAGTTAGTCCTTATATAGTGACTGATCTTGCTGGGACTTCCCACTTTTCTTTTCAGCAGGTCACCTGGAGGCAGGAGGATACACCAGATCTCTGGGGATTCAGCAGACCTTAGAGGTGGTGTGAAGGATACCCACTGTGGTGGTCAATGCTATTTGAGCAGGGTCAGCAGGCCCTGGAGCTTCCGGAGTGCACGATGCAGAAGGCTGCTTACTATGAAAACCCAGGACTGTTCGGAGGCTATGGCTATGGCAAAGCCAATGACACTTATGGCTACAGCACCCCACATCAGCCCTATCCTCCCCCTGCTGCTGCCAATTCTCTGGATACGGATTATCCAGGTTCTGCCTGCTCCCTCCAGAGCTCCACACCACTCCGAGCCCCAGCCCACAAGGGGGCTGAACTCAATGGCAGCTGCATGCGGCCTGGCACTGGCAACAGCCAGGGTGGGGGAAGTGGCAGCCAGCCTCCTGGGCTGAACTCAGAGCAGCAGCCCCCTCCACCCCCGCCTCCACCCCCAACCCTGCCTCCATCCTCACCCACCAATCCTGGAGGTGGCGTGCCTGCCAAGAAGGCCAAAGGTGGGCCCAATGCTTCCAACTCTTCAGCCACCATCAGCAAGCAAATCTTCCCCTGGATGAAGGAATCTCGACAGAACTCCAAGCAGAAGAGCAGCTGTGCCACCGGAGGAGGTAGCTGTGGAAGGGGGCTCAGCTCTGGGCCCCTGGACAAAGATCCCTGCAGACTCTAGGGAGCTCTAGTCATCCCATGACCAAAAAAGTTCAGAGCTGAGAGTGTAACCTTGGAGGCCCTATGCCTAAACTCCAACTCAGGTGGAAAGGCCCTTCCTTTCCTCAACTGTGTCCTTAACTGTCCCTTGTAGTGTCAGGGTGCCCACTTCCCTTGAAGACTGTTGATGCCATTTCTGGGCAGGTCTCCATTATTAGCAGAGAGCTCTTCGTTAGAGTGACCTAGTGTTTGTTCCCCCCGGGCTCAGCTCCTCTTGCACCCAACAGTGCTTCAAAGTTTGTAGAAAGTATAATCATTGCCACATCCAGTGTGGAGGAGGCTACACCACTTGGACCCTACTCCTTTAAATTAATAGGGATTATAGCCTAAGGAGTACTAGGTAGAGTCATGCTAAAGGTTTTAAAGCATTATTTAATCTTCCAAAGAAACCTTTGAGGTAGGTACATCACATTCCCAAATGTACAGATGAGACAACTGGTAAAGATGACCAGCAACCTGTTCAAGAGCACATAACTAAAAAGTGGCAGAATGATGCATCCATACCCAACCAGCCTGACTCCAGAACCTGTGGGATGTAATCAGGAGACCCCTGGGAGCACTCCAGCCCAATTCTCCCTACTCCAGCTAATCCATTCAGGATTACAGGAAGAGTCTTGGACTTCTCTGCTTGGGAGAGCCTAGAGTGGAGGAGGCTTTCAGAGTGTGTGGAGGAGGAAGGTGGGCATGGCCAGCAGCTCCGCTCCTTCTCTTAATGGCAATTGCTGTGTTCTTCACGCTTGCTGGCCATGTGTTCTCCAGCATGATTTCTGAATTTGCTGCTGGGTCCAGAGCAAGTCAGAGCTGGGATGTGGCCTGTTGTCTAGTCCATGGTTTACCAGATGCTCTCTGGGATTGCAGCTCCTGGAGTGGGTGTTGGTGGGGGGGAAGTGTTTGTCAGGCTGAAAGCTCCTTCTGCCCCTCCCTCTTCAGCTGCGGACTCAGGCCCTCCCTCCCAGGAGAAAGCCATTTGTCTTCGCAGTGAGGGAGTGGACAGGCAGAGGCGAGGTGACAGAAGCCAGGGCTGAGGTGGCCGCTCCCAGCACTGCAACACTCAGGACGCCTGGAGCCTGCACTCCGACACCCCCCCCCCCACGCCCCACAACTCCAGGGGAGTTATTTTTTGCTTGTTTGTTTGTTTACCATTTTTCTGCCTTGGGGTGCAGCTGGCTGGAGATGCCAAGATACTTACTGAGATTGTTTGCTCCCTAGGGTGCTCTGTCCAAGAGCCAGCCCCTAAACAAGGCTAGCTGGAGCTGCATCCGCCCACCCCTCCCCTTACAGAACAGCAGAAACCAGGAGGAGTGTTCAGAGAAGTAGGGTCTTGCTTTGAAGGAGGGAGCTAGGGAGGCCTTCCCAGCTTACCAGCCTCAGGCCAGCATCTGAGTCCTCCTGGGCCTGCAGGCAGAAAGGGAGAGGGAGGGCAGAGTGAACGGGATTCAGGAGGCAGACGGAGCTGCAGGTGCGGCTAATGGGTAGGCTTGGGCAGAGTTGGTACCCGGTGGGAACCTCACCTCTCACCTGTCCCTCATCAGTCTCAACCAGAACTGGAGGAGGAAAGGGTGGGGGGAAGAGGAAACCAAGGATGCACCCCTCTCCAGGGGGCTCCCACCTCATCTCCCTTGACTCAGCGATTCTCTCTCTCTCTGCCCCCCTTTCCCCCCCGCAGGAGAGAGTTGCGAGGACAAGAGTCCACCCGGCCCAGCGTCCAAGCGGGTGCGCACGGCATACACCAGCGCGCAGCTAGTGGAGTTGGAGAAGGAGTTCCACTTCAACCGCTACTTATGCCGGCCGCGCCGCGTGGAGATGGCCAACCTGCTGAACCTCACGGAACGCCAGATCAAGATCTGGTTCCAGAACCGGCGCATGAAGTACAAGAAGGACCAGAAGGCCAAAGGCATCCTGCACTCGCCGGCCGGCCAGTCCCCCGAACGCAGCCCGCCACTCGGCGGCGCGGCGGGCCACGTGGCCTACTCGGGCCAGCTGCCGCCGGTGCCTGGCCTGGCCTACGACGCGCCCTCGCCGCCCGCTTTCGCCAAGTCGCAGCCCAACATGTACGGCCTGGCCGCCTACACGGCGCCGCTCAGCAGCTGCCTGCCGCAGCAGAAGCGTTACGCGCCGCCCGAGTTCGAGCCCCATCCCATGGCGAGTAACGGCGGTGGCTTCGCTAGCGCCAACCTTCAGGGCAGCCCGGTGTACGTGGGCGGCAACTTTGTCGACTCCATGGCGCCGGCGTCTGGGCCCGTCTTCAACCTGGGCCATCTCTCGCATCCGTCCTCAGCCAGCGTGGACTACAGTTGCGCCGCGCAGATTCCCGGCAACCACCACCACGGACCGTGTGACCCTCATCCCACCTACACAGATCTCTCGGCCCATCACTCCTCTCAGGGACGCCTGCCCGAGGCCCCCAAACTGACACATCTGTAGCGGCCACCGCGGGCCCCAGCTCACGGCGTCTTACCTCTCTGGCTTTGGCGGCGGCCCCCGGGGGGCTGGGGCTGGGGGAGGGGAGACCCCCTACCCTCGCCATTCCCTCCCCCCACTCCTGCTCCGGCCTGGCCTGCGTTGCTGCTACCGGGGTCCCGGGCCTGCAACGGCACAGGAGCAGGCGACCGGGCCACCACCTGCCCCTCTGGGGCGCGTCCTCCTCCGGGTGGATCGCCATAAATCCGCCGCAAGGATCCTCCCCTGTAAGCCTGCCAGTGCCATAGCCTGCGGACCAAGGGACTGTAATCTGGTAATGATGTCCCGAAGGTAAGTCGGAGAGCCGGCAGCGGCGGAGCGACCCGAGTCGCGAGTGTCTGGCTTGGTTTCGGAGACCTCTAACTTATACGCTCCTTCTCGCCCCGTAAGGATTGCATCGGACTCAACAACCTGTATTTATTATTTGAAGCGAGTCCTTTCGTTTCCCACCCCTCCCGATTATTTATCCTCGTCTTCATGTATTTATGTGTATATTTGTAGATTTCTCCAGCCGAGCTTAGAAACCGCGAGCTCGCAGGCCTTGGGGTGGGGGTGGGGGGCGCTTTTCACCTCGGTAGTCCCCTCGGTCTGAACTAGTTGAGTAGTTTTGAACAGTTGTAACCGTGGCTGGTGTTTGTATTTGATGTAAAGGATTCAGACCGCAAATCGTCCTTCATGGGTAGAGTCAGGCCGCCCGGTGGCGTGGCACCACACACACGTTAGTCATTTCTCAGCGGCAAGCCCTCGCCACTCGACACAGTTTATTGATTTCAAATTGTCTGGTACCATTTGAACAAATATTTAGAATAAAAAAAAATTTCTCAGTCGGAAGTGTATCTGTGTTCATCATGCCCACTTGCCAGCAGGTCAGCAACCCTGGTGGAAGGCTTGGCAGCCGACTGACCCTTTGGAAACAGCGATTTTATTTTCTTTATTAGGAGTCTACAAATGGGTTCTGGGACTACTGGATTACATCCCAGCAGCTGAGATCAGGGCGGGCGGGGTGGGGGGTAGACCCAGAGGATGCAGACCCCAGAAATGGTTTGGGGGAAGGCTGGGGGTGATTCGGAGGAGGCCTTGCTGCTTCTCCTGCCTTTTTTTGTAGACACAATCGGCTTGTACACTGCAAGGGCCAGAGCTCACGTTTCTGCGTTTAGTAATTAAACTCAGAGAAAACCGACAATCAAAGAAAAGAAATTACAAGGGAAGTTGAAGGATGCCTAGAGCTGTGAGAGAGCTCAGGTGCAGAGGAAGGCATGTTCCTGTGGAGATGCACATCAAAGCTTTTTCTCTAGGAAATACTGATTTTTTTTTTTCCCTTGGTAGTGGTCAGAAGGTCATTTTGGAGGAAAACAAAGGTTCTCCACAATGTAAAGTAATAAAAGTTTCATTGATGGAACATAACAAGAACAAACACCTTGTTCATCTCAGCTTCTTTGTACAAAACGGGCCAATCTTATCTTCAAGGGTTTATAAATGTTTTTGTAAATATTAGCGTGGCTTTCACCGGGGGCGGACACCTTACACCCACTTCTGTGGGAGGGGGCATTTGGAAAACAACTTCAGATGGGATGCACTTCCTTTGTATTCCAGCAAAGCCTGCCCACACATCTCTATTTGGTTTGACAAATCACACAACTGCTACTACATCCCCAGTGGTGTGAGGTGAAATTCCTATTGTGTGGAAATCCTTTAACTTCTAGCCTTCTGGTGGAACAACAATCGTTTCTATCTGGATGTTTGTGTTTGGCTAAGTAACGCTGGCTCACGACAGTATATTTAATTTCCTTGTTCCTTTGTGTTCTTTCTAAAATGGCATGTTGGACTGGGGAGTGGGAGGGAATATCCTTTTGCAAAAATTACATTTCCTCCGAGCAGGTTTAAATCTATATGTTGTAGAAATGTATCCACAGAATAAATGACTTCCATGGAAGGCCTATTTTACCCACCTTCAAGGCTTAACATTGTTTTCCATGAAATTTGCACCCTTCTGTTAGACTGCTAATGGTCTCATAGGAAATTATTATTATTATTTTAACTACTAGGGAAATCCAGGAAAAGCTCGGCGTTTTGCAGCGTTTACACCCACTTTTCTAAGCCGCCTAGATATCCTCAGGCTGTTTTAACAGCCCCGTTTTCCCTCTTCCTACCATAAATAATAATACAAATACATAATGCATCACGGCTCCCAATGTTCTCCAGCGTGGGGTGACCGCAGGAGTTATCAGCTGAGTCGGCTGGGTCTGCAGAAACCCCAAGTGTCATCTGCGGCTTCGGGTTTCACGGCTTCGACAGTAAACGGTGTCCAGCCAGGCTGGCACACCCAGCTCCTGGGCAAGCGCGGGCGTGGGGGGCTCCCTCTCCAGGCGCTGCAGCACGTGCGTGTCTCCCGGACCAGGTCTGCGCCTTTCTCTCACCTCTGGGGTGCAGGGGCACCCGCTGCGAGTACTGCGGGCCGGGCGTGAGGTGGGGAACCGCGGCACCATTTAAAACTTCCTCAATTAGGAGCCGGCCGCCAGGGCCTTTGCCGTCAGGCGCGCTTCTCTGCAAGGAAGCCCCCGAGTCTCCAGGCGAGCCAAGGCCCTGTGCAGGGCCCAGTGGCCCGGTTGGTGAGCCTGTCTTTCTTTCTTTCTTTGCCAGTGCCGCGCCCCCTTGGCGCTCCGGGGCTGCGCGCCGCCGCCTCCCCTCCGCCACCGCCGGCGGGGTACACTCGGCTGGGTTCCCGCTCGGCCGGCGGGCGGGCGAGGGAAGGTCACAATAGCAGCTCTATCCGCCGACGCGCCTCGCCCGCCTCCTCCCTCCCGGTCTCGGAGCAGCAGAGAAAGGCGTGTGGGGGAGGGGAAGCCGGCCCCAGCAATGGCGGGCGCCCTGGGCCGGGGCCTCCCTTTCTCTCTGGGGGAGAACTCAGCTGCAGCCCCTGGGGGATGTTGGCGGCGAGAGGAGACACTCCCATTCCCGCCCCCACCCCCATTCCAAGCCCCTCCTGGGGGACCAGTGCTCCAGGGCTTAGGGAAGGCACACTAAAGCTTCCAGGTTGCCCGTACCCTGTTTTGAAGGTGAGAGGGTGGGATGGACGACACCTGGAGGTGGGGACGGGCTGATCCTCACTCCCTCCAGAGGACCACCTCGTTTGCCTCCACGGGAACAAATGTCCCCTCCCCGCACTCCCACAGGGCTGGCTGTCGGAGGGAGCTGGGGGTCATGGGGGGTCAAGGAGCTGGGGGTGGGAGTCTGAGGAAAGGCCCCAGCCCCTGGAGGAGATGTGGTGGTCCTTGGAGCGCCCCTGTTAGTTTTGCTAGGGAACTCTTCATGTGAATGGGGGCAGGGAAACCGCATGAGGCAACCACGAAACTGGGAGATGAAGGTGGAGGAAGCCGCAGCTTCCCTCCGAACCTAGAAAACCTCAGGGTCTAGCGGAGTGCCCCGGGCCCCGTGGAGCCGGCCGGGGGCAGAGGAAGCTGCGGAGGAAGGGCCTGGAGAGAAATCCTGGCCCCTGGTTAGGGAGGTTAAAAAACAAGGGCGATCAAGTACACATTCTGCCTTCTGGCGTTCAGACCTCAGTCGCATCCAGGGACCTGACAGAGAAAAATCTTCCTGTGACGGAATCATTAAGTTAACCATCCATTTGTACCATTTCTTTGTACAGACTTTCCAATGAGAGGAAAGAGAGTAGGGGCCTTTCCCCCCTCGGTGCAGCCCCAAGCCTAGTCCCTATCAGAGATCCATCAGCCAGATTGGTTTCGCAGGCCCAGGAGGCTGCTAACCTTGCTGAACAAGGCTTTTTGAATTTCTATCTGTAAGGGGTATTAGAAGATACTGATTACCTATGCCAGCCGCTCAGCCTCTCTCCCCTCCACCCCTTCCCCTGTCTGCCTAAGCCCACTGGTCCCAGCATGAGGGATCTCAGCCAGCAGGCTAGGAAGCCAGGCCCTCCATCTGTTGAGGGTTTTTTTCCCCCCTGAGGGAGGGTGAAGAGGATGTGTGTGGGTGTCTGTTTGAATAACAAAGAAGTCAGCCTTCCTCCCATCACGGGGTGCTCCCTAGCTTGACCTGAAGAAGTCAAACTTGTTTGTACCTTCCAGAGTCCAGAGGCAGTCCCAGGCCTGTTTTGATTCTGTCAGAGGAGTTAAGCAGCAGAGGAAACTTGTTTCAGAGAGAAGTGGTTCATCTCAGGCGCCTAGAAGTCCTCTTCCTTCTGGGAGTCCTTAGCGTAGCTTTGGTCCTTTCAGAAGCTGAAAGAGGACACCAGGAAGAACGAAAGTGTGTGAGTGGCAAGAAGAGAGGCAGAGGGTCTCCAGTTAGACCAACTTTTGGTCCCATCGTCTGAAGACACAGTCACAAAGGCTTGTCGTGGGCCAGATGAGGGGCCAGGCTCTCAGCACAGGGAGCTGGACCAGGTTATCACAGCCAAGCTTGGTCCACTTTTGAAGGCTTAGCTTTTTATATAGATCTCTCTTACCAAAGCCCTGGGTGGAGGGAGAGATACAGAGAGAGGATTGTAGAGCTGACTCCTCTGCACTTGGTGCATCCGTGGGGCTGGGTATCAGCAGAGAGGATGGATGTATATTCCTTACTGTCCCGTTGCTTGTGGTTAAGATATATTTATCTGAATGTCGAAGTGACAGAGGAAGACCTTTCATCAGCTGGTTCACTGCCCAGAAGGTCACAGTGGCCATGCCTGGATCAGGTTGAAATCAGGAGCCAGGAGCTTTTTATAGTTCACGCACATGGGTGGCAGGACTCTAGGCACTGAAGCCATCTTCTGCTGCCCTCGCAGGTGCACTAGCAAGGAGCTGGACCAGAAGAGGAGCAGGTGGAACTGGCACCTGTGCCCACATGAGATGCTGACTTTGTAGGCTGTGGCTTTACTTGCTTGGTCGGAATGCTGGTCCCTGGTCCCATGTTTTCTATTACAACTACAAATGTTCTTTGCTTTGGGGTCCAAAGTTGGGGTGTGTGTGTGC